GTTGCGAAGGTGGGATGGCGCGGGGAAGTGGCCCATTCGGTGGGGTGGCCCGCTCGGTGGTGAAACACGTTATACCTTTTGGCATTTTTGGCACATGTTTAGTTACGATTTCTTGATTTCTGATTTCTGATTCTGATTTTTTTTTTCTGTTTGAAATGGGACAATGTTGTTAGATGAATAGTATATGAGAGTGAATTCTATTTTCTATAACGAGCAAACGGCAATCTTGATGTGTGATTTTGGAAAGCCTGATAAAACTCACGCTGTTATCTCACCGGGCAAAAGAAAAATCGACTTAGAATTTGTCCAAATCTGTTTCCATCAGAAATAAAGTTTGTACAGGCAAAAAAATAAAATTCGGCACAAAACACCCGAGTCCACATCATCAAAGACATAAGATCATGTTCCAAAAGAGAAAGAAAAAGTCAATGCATTCAATCCCTCCAACCCTACCCTCTATTCTATACTCTAAAAAAAACATCAAACCCCTAACTACCTCCCCTCCCTCTCACGCTCGGCCTCCCCCCTAATATCCTCCCTACTCCCCCGCCCTCCAAGTCCCCTCCAAAGCTCACTCAACGTCCCACTAAGGCTCCTACCCCTCCCCGTCCGCGCACTCACAGCCGCAGAATCCGACGCACCAACCTGACTATCCCTCGTCTGTCGACGACTCAACGGTTCACTTGTGGTAGTCCCGCCCATCATCGCCCCGTCATCGGGATTGTCGCGCGACGAAGACCCCAAACCGAGGACGCTGCCACGGCGCCGGATAGAATCGTCGGGGTCGCGGTAGCGGACGTTGGCTCCGCGCTTGAGGTCCTGGACCATTGTGCTGAGACTGGTGCTGAGGGGGCTGGCGAGTAGGGGGCCAGCGATGCTGTTGCGGGTTCCCTGGGGGCGGTCGACGGTGCGCAGACGACGGAGTTGGGAGCCGGGAGTGGTGGAGACGTCGGTTTGGGATTTTCCTCTGGTAGGGGTCCATGGGAGGCCGAGTTCCGGGTCGCTGGTCGAGGGTGCGGGTGCGGCTTCGGAGGGTAGGACGGGGGTGGAGGTGTGGCGGTTTAGGGGTGGTGTGCGCTCTTCGGGTTCATTGGGGTGGGTCCATGGGTTTGCCACTAGGGAGGACATGATGTCTGTGGAGACTGAGCGAACGACGGGATTCGGTGGGGTTACTGGCTCGGGTATAACAACTATGGTTGGTGTTGATGGACGCGAATCGTCATCGCGGTAGCGAGAAGAGATGTTGATAGGTGGTGAAAGTGGACGTGATGTCGATCGCGTACTTCTGGCAACATTGTCGCCTGTGTCGTCCACATCATCAGTATAGCGCTCTCCTTCCAGATACATTGCATCATGATCTGGCTCGTCGTCTTCCTCGCTGTGTTGCGGAGGCCGTCCGCTCGTGATAAGCCAAACGCCAAAGAATGTCAAGGCGCATCCACCAATGAACTTTCCTGCATCTTGCGCTGAAGTCCTTTCAAAGTCGCGGTAGAGCACTGCAGACCCGCCAATGACCGACAAGGTGAAGAGGACAAACTGGACGGGGATGACCTGGGTGGCATCGAAGCGCTGCAGTGCACGGTTGACATACTTGATCTGCATGACTGCAGTACCAACGAGAATGGCAACTAGGAGATAGAAGACTGGAAAAGTAATAGCACGCCATAGCGTATACGAGAGCAGCGACGCAACACCTTTCGTAGAGAGCGCCGTATATCCACCTTGATAAAGTCAGTCACTGCATTACAGACATAACCGTTGAACTCCCAAAACTTACCAAACAGCCCTACAAGCCCCAGGTCAATCAAAATATTCTTGTCCCCATACTTATTACTCGCACCCATCAACACGATAATCACACCAACAGTGACACCAAGATACGTCTCAAACTCCCATCTCCTAATCAAATCCCAAATCTCGCCGGGTCCCAATTTCGGATTATTATCGTTTGCCGAAAGCACAACCGTCACCGCGCCTCCAACCGCGATAATAACGCCCAGCGCATCCCGCTTGCGAAACGGCTCCTTGAGCATAAAGGGCGCAATGATGCAGTTGGAAATGAGCGCGACGACACCGAGCGGCGAGACAATGGACGCAGGCGCAAAGCCGTAGGCGAGAAAATTGCCCGCCTCCCCCACCGTCATGAGGATGATGCCGAACCACCAGTACGGCGACTTGAGATACGACTTTTGCTTGTAGACCTCGTCGTCCGGCCCCGATCCCGCGCTATCACCCCTCTCCACCCCCGGTCTCGTCTGGTGGGAGCGCTCATTCGCAACCAGGGGATCCGACTCTGTCGCCTCAAAGATATTTGCATCAGGCGCATGATGGGTGTGGCCCGGTGTGCCATTCGCGTGCTGATCCTTTCCTCTACTGCCGCTAAACTTTGTCACTTCTTCATTCAAGCGGTTCAAGCTCAGCCCAGACGCATTCCTCCTCTTGCGCTGCCGCTCTTGCGCCTGCCACTCGCGATCCAGCCGGATGTGCGCGTACCGCTGCATGTTGAGCGCAAACGATATTAGCACGTTTCCTACTATCGCCGTTACGATGCCAATGAGACTGCTCCAGTTCTCCGGGTATCTAATGCCGCCGCCGCCGTCGCCTCCATCGCCCGTCTCTTTTGAAAACCATGATAGGCCATTAAGGAGTATTATGCTCGATGTGTGCGTGGATGTTGGCGTCGCTGAGCCAGCAGTGACGTAGCTGGGGGGTATATGCATCGCGTCGGGAGGTGCAGGCTGCGTCCAAGCAGGGTAACGCGGAATGCGATGGACCAGCCGAGGGTGCAGCGCCGGCCGTGGGTATCGCACGCCCGTGTGCTTATGGTGCGGTTGGTGAGAAGAAGTTCTCGCGTTTAGATATTATACGGGAACTACAAAAAGCATACGATACAAGGTGACATACTGTCCGGCCCGAATGTTGGCGGTGGGCTGCATTTCTTTGGTGCCGCCGTATGCCGCGACGGCCTTGCAAGCTTCTCCAACTTCTTTCACATGACGAGGCTGCGGTCCAAGCTTCAAATGCACCATCGACATGTTACGCGCTAGCAATCATTGTGCATCAAAGGCCCATGGATAACGTCGTCTTTTACACAAATCTAACAGGTTTGTCGTGCCTAGTGCTGACAAGCAACATATTATGCCCATGGCGGCAGAGCCCTATAGTTGGGATACTGATGGTTTGATCTTGTTCCATAGCGCCTCAGCCAACTACTATATCATACTCAAACATCGATGCATGGATGGATGCAAGACGAACTTGTTCAAACATACTTTAATATATGGCTATAATACAAACTATGCAGATAGACTATATTCCGCTTCTGCATGTTCCACATCACGCGACGTCACGTGAGGTGAGCATATATGCAGATTCCCCCATCCACACCCCAATACGCCGTTGAAAATGTTGATGTCTACCCCGCATGCTTTTGCTAGTCGCCAATATCGTACTCTGCGGTCTTCACCCAGCTAGGGAACAGACATCTTCACGTCATCATTGGTGGCATCCGCGACACCTTCACCATCCTGCTCCATGCTTTCAGGAACCGGGTCAGGCTCAGAAGCAAGAAGCTTAATCCTAGCTTCGACAGCCTCTTCTCCGACGACGGACTCTTCAACCTGAGCCTTGCGGATGAAGACAGTGTGCCAACGCTTACCCCAGGCCTTGATAAGTTCAACCTCCTCTTCAGTCAACGCGCCGCTGGAAGACTTCTCGAGCATTGTGTCGGCAGAACCCTCTGCGACGCCGCGTGTAGAGTCCTCAATGTACTTGAACAGTTCCCGGGCGTTGTCTCTGTCCTTGGCTAGTGTAGCTTCCACCATCTCAATCTGCTCCTGCGGAAGACCCTTTTGAAGACGGGCGGATGCGATCTGGCGGTTGCGGTTGGTGACCTTGGCGACTGTGTTGGACACCATCTCGAAAACCCAGCTCTCAGTCAAAGCCTCTCCGGCGCCCATGTGGCTACCAAACACCCATTGCACAACCGTCATTGGCGCAAGAATGGTATAGTTGAGCAGGATGTCAATAATACGGACGGCGACACCTGGCTGGTCTTTCCAGTACTCAACCACACTCGCTACAATCTGACGACGTGCCGTCTCGTTTTGAGAAATTTCCAAAAGACGATCCTTGCCTCGCTCAATGCAAGACAGAACGTGGGACAGCGACTTGGCACCCAGACGGCAGATGGCGGTGACAAAAGCATCAGTTGAAGGTACGAGAACTTCTCCAACACCTTGTGCAACAGCCTTCTCATGAATGCTATCAATTGTGACTTGCACTTCTTCTGCCGTAGCCTTCTTCCTCAGCTGGTTGAGCAAGGTCTGACCCTCAACAGCGTATGGGGTATCTAAAGCCAGTGTCAGCCATGTTCGCATTTACGTCCAGTGCATACATACCTGGGTTGTCGTATTTGAAATCGGGACTGTTGTCCGCGTCTAGGCGCTCGGGAATCAAAGAGTGCATAGGATCTGGCAGAGTCGAACGAATGCGCTTTGCAAACGACAATCTGATTTCCTTATCCAAGGTAGCAAGAATGAATGCCTTTTTTGGGTGCAGATTCGAAAGCTCGAGATCCTCAAGCCTGATGTTGTTAGCACGCCTCTATCACACATACACTCTCTTAGACATACCATTCAGTCCACCTCCATCGGAACTCAAAGTTGCTGAGATGGTGCGAGAACCAGTCGAGAAACCTATAGCCCAGCTCAAGATCCATCATGGGCAGATTCTTATAAATCGTACGGATGGCCCTTCCAAGTGACGGTGCAATGGCAGCGGGTGCAACTTTGCAGCACTGAGTAATGAGTGAGTGGTAGTAGACAAGCTTGTGTTCGGCGCTCGGCAGCTTGAACAGTTGTGAGAAGATGGCATCGATGATCATATCTTCAGACTTGTACTGGATCTTGTCGCCGACCAGCTCGCGGAACTTGTCAAAGGGCGAGCCACGCTTAGCGAAAATGTCGACAGACCAGTAGCAGTCCACATCGACGAGGAACTTGGCAACCATCTCTCGGTTGAAGTCAAGTTGGTTGATGGTGTCAACGATAGCATCGCGTACAAGAGATGACGCAATGTCAGTGGTCTTAGGTACGGTATCGACTTCCTGGTCGGCGAAGAGGGAAAAGTAGGCCTCGGGAAAGACAGGCCTTGGGCCAGGGTTGACGGGAGATGGAATAGTGAATGTGGGGAAAGTGTGCGTCTGAGGAGCTGTAGGCAAAGCGTCTTCTTCCTTGGCGTTCATGATACGTAGTGCCTCGGGGTCAACGCGTGGAATGCACCTGAGCTCGAATCCAGAATCCGCTTCAGCCGAAAGCTGCGCCTGAAGGAGGCCAATGACGCTGTTGTAGCTGACTGGCTTCGACTCGAAATCGCCAACGTACGAGTGGATAAGGCTTTCGATGGGAACCATGTTGCTTGCCACGATGCCTGTGTTCTTCAGCAGTTGCCTTGCTTGCTCGTGGAAGCGCTCTCCTCCAGCTACGAGTGCGTAAGGGATGGTAAGGAGGATGATCTTGACGAGTTCGATACCGACAACCTGATCTTGTTAGCAAGGGACAGCGTATATCTTGCAGACAGCTTACATCGTTCTCGTTAGCACTCTGCAGGTCTACAACCGTGTCGAAGAGCTGACTAAGGAAGGTAAAGACGCCGTCATCCTCATACAGCGACTGCAGACAGGCAAAAAACCTGAGAAGCAGTTTGAACTCTTTCCACTCTCCAGCGTTGAGAGCCGCCTGTGCCCGGTCCGAAACGCGCTTCATGGCCTCGATTGTAATTTCTGGCTTGACGTCGTTTGCGTAGTAGGCAACGGCTGCAACAAATGGAATCTTGAATGGTTGCTCGACAATACTATGATGTGTCAGTGTGACTTGATAAGCAGCAATGAGAATGCTTACAGCTGGACTAGGACATCGAAGAAGTCTGAGCGGAGACGCTCGTCGTCAAAGTGCTCTCCAAAGTACTTTGCGATTTCAATGGCTTCATCTTGCGGTAGCTTGGTGGAGCTGGCAATGTTGAGAAGCAATCTCCTCAGTTTTGGGAATGGGGGTTCCTCGTATCGGCGACGGGGACCGTCATCGTGGCGGCGTCTCTGGGGCCCACGGCGATCGTCACCGCGGTAGTAGTTGTCGTTGTCATCTACGCGACCATGTCAGTATCGTCATTTGAAGATGAAGCAATGCGCAGAATGAAGCAGTGTGCTGGGGAGTGCAGCCTGGTGCGCATTGCAGATATGGCATATCCTGGGACTGTCCCGATTATGCACACTGGCTGCGCAAGTTTGGCAGCAGACAAAGAAGCAGACTTACCGTCACGGCGGCGCTTGTTGTTCCCTCGATAACCACCACGATCGCGTCTGTCGTCACGTCGGTCCTCGCGCCTATCATCGCGCTCTTCTTTAAAATCGTTATCCGCCATGGATGCGACAATATCTGGTTGACCCTTTTGCTTCAATGTCTCTGGTGAGAATTCCCAGTGTCGCGACGGCCTGGAATTACAGGTAGCGCGTGTGCCGTTGCTTGGGTTGTCGTAGTCCTTGTATGTATGACTGTAGGGACAGTAGGAATCACCGCGGGGGAAGCCAGAAGGGAGGCCGTGGCGTCTGGCAACTCGGTTGCGATGTTTGCGGATGGGTCGCGAAAGTGGATTGTCGAGGTTGCTGCGCGGAAGTCGCTCTGGAGCATCCGCGAGAGCTTGTGATCCAAACGGGCTAGTGCCATTTGAGCTCTTGCCTTGGCGCTCCGTACATGCATCTTCGACGTCAACGGACATGGACATGTTTTTGCTTGGCCAACTGCTATCAACTAGGTGATTTTGAGGATCGACATCTCGCATTTCATGCATTCTGAGCTGGTTCTGTGCTTGAGATTGTTTTGTTTTGTCCCGCGAAGGGCCAAGTTTGTTCAGCAGAGAGAAGTGCACAGCGCCAGTTGAGAGTATACCTGATGAAGCAGGAGAGTAGTTATTACGTTCACTTTGTTTTTTTGTAGACAGAGAGAATGCATAAGAATCGATTATGAATTAGTATAGCATATGTTGCGTCTCTCACTACATTACCCACGAGTTGCTTGGAGGTGAGTTTGTATCTGGAGTAAAGGCAGGTAATTACCGAACAAGACATGATGAACTAACTTGCAAATCCCGTCTATTTTTGTTCTCGTATCAAACAAACTTCACACGCAAAAGACATCCAAAAAAAAAGATCAAAAGGTCAAGAATATGAAGAGACTTGTATCCATTTAGGGAGTACGCGCAAAGGCAGGTAAGACAGCAGGGGTAGTTCGTTGCCATGTAAGCATTTGCTCCACTGCAGACATGCAATCCTTTGGTCTAGTAGTGCTTCAGTGCCGGTCGTGAATTTGCCAGTCCATATGCTCTCAGTGCAAAAGGCCATTCTCCTCAAAGGATCGCCGTTCCGACGGGTCAGGGTAAAACCGTCCAAATTGCGAAATGAGCCTCACCATCCCATGTGCAGCCCATTGAATAGATCTTGAATAACAAAGAAAGAAGAAAACTCCCGCATGCAAGGCAGGTGACGCATCGTAAACCCATGCTGAAGCGTCGGAAATCGGATGAGCGAGACCCTTCGTCAGCTTTCCATACTCAATACATCCCAATTTTTGCCAGCTCCCCATTCCTTTGCTTGTGCAACCCTTTTGCGCCCATTCATCATGTCCAAAGGCAACTGAGGAACATCATCTGCAGTGCAGGCCCACCATCATTTCGCGTGAACGAAAAAGGCCAGTAGCCTCGAAAGAAAAGTAAGCCAGGTCATTCTTTGTAAACGTGAATGTCGGTATCATTTCAGACGCGCGCAGACAAAGCAGAAAAGGGTGCGCTCCTCGTAGTATACACCTGATAAAACCGACGCCCCATTTGAGACTCCTTTTTGCATCTCTCCGGAAGGACCTAGCTTTATGCTTAGGAGCGGAGAGGATCAAAAGTCGCCGCATGAAGAAATATTATCGTTTCGAATGACGCTAAGCATGGCTTAATCCAACCTGGCCATCATCTGATCCTTGGTTAATGGCTTGAAGCTGGGCGATTCGAAGTCAAGGCCACGTGCAGCTAGTGTCGCGCGGTGGTGCGGCGGTATGAGCTGGCTGTTGAGGTGAGGGGCGATGGAGAGTTCTGGACGGGTTAGCTAGTGTGCTGCGAGATCAAAGAATCAAGGGACTAGGCTCACCATGATGAGTAAAATTGTACAGCTCTGGCAGATCGCGGGTGGCCCCGTTGGGGTGACGCGAGTCTGGCAGGCGTGTGTTGGGATCCCTCAGCTCGTCAAAGAATGGGTGGACCATGGCATCGATGGCCGAGAGACGTTGTGTGGGAGTATACTCGAGCAGCTTGGAGATCAAATCGATGGCGCTAGGATCCGCCTTGCGGAAAACCTGAGGGGTTTGTGTGAGTAAATGTGGCACAGCAAATAAGGGTGGGACCAAGAGACCAGACCTACCTTGCTGAAAGGGTGAGGCTTGATTTGCGGGAACTTGTGCTCCATGTAGTTGGGGTTCATGGTGCGGATCTGATCGCGGGTGGGTGTTCCCAGCACCTTGATGATCTCTACCAGCTGGTCAATGCCCGACTCGCCTGGGAAAAGCGGCTGTCCGAGCATCAGCTCAGCCATGACGCAACCTGTAGACCAGACATCTACACGCCAAATTAGCACACATACACACACACCCCCCCCCCCAACACAGTCTTGATCAAATGCACATACCAATCTTGGTGGTGTAGTTTGTGGCTCCGAAAATCAACTCAGGGGCACGGTAGTACCTGGAACAAATGTACGACACATTTGGCTCGTTTTCGACAAGGATCTTTGCACTTCCGAAATCGCACAGCTTTAGTACACCAGTCGAGGGGTCTAGCAGCAGGTTCTGGGGCTTGATGTCCCGATGGCAAATACCCTGGGAGTGGATGTAGGCAAGCGAGCGGAAGAGCTGGTAAATGTAGAGCTTGACTTCGAGGATGGGCATGACCGACTTCATCTTGTTGAAGTAGCGGGAGGCGCGATAGACAGTCTCTGGGACGTACTCGAGCACGAGGTTGAGGTAGACCTCGTCCTTCTGTGGCTGAAACGGTTAGCTACACGACAGACACAGACGCGCTTGGCTGCAGACACGTACCCGCTCGCCATTGTTGTAGAAGAAGGCCTTGAGCTCGACAATGTTGGGGTGTCGGACAATGCGCATAATCTGGAGTTCCCGGTTCTGTTGGGGGAAGTCAGCCGGGAGTCAGCCGGAGGGGTGCGCATGTGGGAGAGAGAAGGAGGGGGGGGAAGGGAGGGGGGGAGGCGACGCGCAACACACACACACACACACCTTGAAGCGCTTGTCCTGAAGAACTCGTTTAATGGCAGCATCCTCACCACTGGGCGACAGCTTGGTCTGGAAGACGACACCAAAGGAGCCGTTGCCGACAATCTTACATTGCGTATAGGCGAGGTCCTTGTAGTCGCCGGTCAAGCCGTCTTGGACCTTTTCGCGGATAACTTCTGCAGAGGAGAGTAAGCATGGGTGCAATTGACATGGCGGATGGAAGGGAGTCGACTACTTACCACCCATTCTTAGCGAGGAAAAGGCCGATGGCCGGTTCTGGCTCATTGTTTGGAGTTATGCGTAGGGGAGGGGGTCCGCAAGCGCTGCGCGGATTGCTATCGGGAGTGGGGCGGGCTGTAGGTGAGCAGGGTGTGGCAGGGTTTGCGAGCGTGGTGGAGGAGAGCCGTAGTGGATATGGGCAGAGAGGGCGGCAGGTGGTGGCAAGTGGTGGTGGAGAGGTTGAGTGGTAGTGGTTGGTAGTGGTGGTGGTGGTGGTGGTTGAGGAGCAACAGCAGTAGCAACAGGGAGTAGGCGCGAGGTCGAGTGTCAAGAGGGCGTGGTCCCGCGTGCCGTCTGTGCAGTAGCAGGTGACGCTGGTGTGGCTGACGGAGCTAGCGACCAGGGCAGGCGCAGGTGGTGGCCGGAGCAGCAATGGGGCAAGCAACGAGGACAGGGACTTTTTGGGCTGAGCAAAGGCAGCAGAGGGAGAATTGAGGGCGAGGATATGCAGCTTGTGAAGGAGCGAGGAGAGGCGACGATGGGGTTGAGTGACGGCAGTGCTGGGGATTAAGGGCGGGGCAGCAGTCCTAGTGCTAGTTTGGGTGTCAACGTGACTGCAATTCACGTACTTGTCAGCGCGCAGGCCAGTAAGGGAGCGGCTAGGTCCAAGGGAACCATACAGGAGCGGGCAAATCTGGTGCAGGAAATATGGACCTGCAGGAGAGGCGTGCGTTGCAGACAAGTGGATGATGGATGATGGATGTTGGATGTTGGATGTGGATGTGGATGAAGGAAGGGGTGGGAAGAGCCGCCTACTACTAGACTAGGCTACTGTGTGCAGGCAGAGAGGAGGAGAAGAAGGGCAAGAAGAAATAGGAGAGTAGAAGCAGAGTAGAAGCAGAGTAGAAGCAGAGTAGAAGCTGGAGCTGAAGCTGAAACGGAGAGAGGAACAGGCACAGAAAAGGAGTAGCAGCTTGGTTGGTAGGCAGGCAGGCAGACGGACAAACAGACAGCCAGCCAGCCAGCCAGCCAGCCAGCCAGACAGCCAGACAGACAGCCAGACAGACACACCCAGGGAAGCATGCGCGCGTTCGGTCGTTCTTGAAACAGACGTCAGCAGCGTCGCCAGTTGCCTTTCGTTTTTCTACCCTCCAGTCGACGCCCACACACAGACAGGCACACCACCACCATCACAGACATAGACACACACACACACCACCACCAGCACCACCACCACCCAGACACGACTTCGCAACAGCGGGCAGCGTGGCGTGAGGCGGCGGCAGTGTTGGCGTTGACGGGCTATTCATCGGGTGCTGCTCATCACCCGCCATGGTACATACATTGGCTGTGGTGACGATGACGATGGTGCTGCACACGACGCTGGTGCTGGCTCAACATGACCATCTGCAGCTGCCGACGCCGGCCTGCACGTGAGGCATGAGATTTTCCTGCCTTTCGCCGCCATGCCACCATGCCGCCCGCAACAATAAGCTGCGCCCACTTGGCCGTGTCCGTGTCCGCGTCCGTGGCAGCTACAGCGACAGCAACGACAGCGACAGCGACAGCGACAGCGACAGCTACAACTAGGCACACGCTGTCGGGCACAACGGTCCAGAGTCCAGATGCATGCCATGGTATCGACTAGAGGGCGCCGCCGCCGCCCGTTGGTAAAGAGGAGCCTGGGTTGCGTGGCCGCTCTGTCGACACGACCGTTTGATGCCAGGGCCCTCGTGCTGCTAGGCCCAAGTACTTACTCGCGGCCTAAAAGTACTCTACCCATACCCATACCCATATCCATACCCTACCATGCTGATGCCAATGCCAATCCAATTGCTGCTGCTGCTGCTATTGCTGCGAGCTGGCGAGGGGAAAATCCCTACAGCCACCCACTCCCACTCCGGCCTTGCCATCCAGGGCCCCCGCTGCTTTGGCGAGCCTATCTCAACACGACCAAGGCCTTTTTGACGCTGCCGACTTGTCAATTTCATGCAGCACCACCACCCACGGCCCTGCCTGCTCCGCTGCCCGCCAACCACAGCTGACGAGAAGAAAAAAAAGGGACAAAGGAAAAAAAGGTTTGCTGGCCGTCACAGCCACAGCAAGCACGGCGGGTACAGGGGCTTTGGTTGGCTTTGGTTGGCCTTGGGCGCCCGTCCGAGTCCAGATGGATGAGAATGAGAACAACGACAAGAGAACAGCGGGCACGCCAACAAGACGACGACATGACATCGCATCGTGGTGCATCGCCAATCGCTTCGCAGCCATCCATGTCGAGCGTCGGCGCCTGTTCTCCTGCCTCGTCATGGCTCTCAGACGCCCCAGCGCCGCCCTCGTGGTGCAGCTCCACTCGATGGCCAGCTGATGTTCTCTTGCACCCTGATCCTAGCGCCCCTCGTCTACAGCCGAATGCCCGGGCCTCCCAGAGCCCTGGCGTCGCCAGGCGCTGCATACTGTGTACTAACTACTGCCACTGTCTGCTCTCCTCCTCCTCCTCCCAGCTCCCAATGCCCGAATGCCTCGCATGCTCCCCATTGCCGCTCTGCGCATTGCATTGCAATCCTCACACCATCCCCTCTCGGGCCACAGCCTAGCGCTGCTCCGCCCTCTGTGCAAGCTGCTACCCTTGACCGGCTGCCTGCACCGCCTGCTCCGCCTGCTCACATTCCTGTTCCTGCTTATTGCCCTTATTACTCTTGCTGCTGCTCCTGCTCATACGTAGACACCGCTGTCCGCCCATGGCCACAGCGGCCCACCGGCCGGTGTGTGAACGACTGCTCGGTGCAGGTTACACGCCCAATCTCTCGTCGTGTACCCTGTGTGCCTAAACGGGCAAAACTTGCAGCTTCTGCCCTTGTTGCATACCCAAGTACACTACTCCTCATGACGCTTGTGCTCCCCTTCCTTGCCTCTCCCGCCCCATGCTGCTGCTGCTGCAAGGCACGTGTCAATGGCCCTCGCAAACACGTCTGCTTTGCAGTAAATGCCTCTTGCTCAACACCTGCTCCCCTGCTGTCCACTCACACTCCTCCCACAGCCCGACCATCCTCGTGGCCAGACCACAGCAACTCCCAAAAGCGTGCGGCTGAAGCGACAACTAGGGGGGGGGGAGGGTTTTCTTGCATTTTTTGGCGCATGTTGTGTGGGTAAGCTAACAGCCCATCCCAGTTACACAATTTATCGTGGCCCGATTCGCCCCTCGTACGTCAACCTGCATGTTGGTTTAGCGCGTCCGGAATCAACATCCATCCTATTGGCTCCTGTCATGTGACTACCACCGCACCACGATGCTGCCGCCCGCCCGACGCGGATTCACCACCTGCAGAAGAAATACCGAGCCCCACTGTCTCTACCATTCTTACATCAGAATCTCGAGAGCCTTGTATTTCGTTTTTGCAGGTAATGGTTACTCATGACCACTACGCCCCATCGCCGATAGCAGAAAAGAAGTATTGTTGTTGAGCAATCGCCCCGTCAATCAAACCGCCGCACTGGTGCACAACAACTCCGTACCATCAACTCTTCCCGCTTCTGTCTCAGATCTGGCGGCGGGCCGCTGTCTGCGAACAAATTGCCTCGAAGCCTGTTCAGCCATGCTCACTGTTTGATTCGTCGACTAAACCTGAATGCAATCTCACCGCGAGAGGCCCCGTGTGTGTGTGTGCCCCCGTCAACCTTTGAGTAACATGTACAGATTCACCTCAGCCTTGTGGATTGTCCATCTACGTTACGCAAACGACTTGTCTTGACGAGCAATGTCAACAGGCCCATCATGCAGTCAAGCGCACGGCAATTCCGCACATGGAGTTTAGACCAAGCAGACTAAGTGCTCCCAGTACTGTGCCGCTGCCTTTGTTTAGCTACCGACATCGGCCGCATTGTCCACAACCCGCATCTGCGGTCACCATGTTTGAATCGGCCATGACACGGTCAACGGCCAGTGTTGCATCTCGACCGTTTGTCACGCCATGCCAATGTTCATATCCAGAGCAACTTCAAGCTCAAGATATGTTACTGCGATTATTGCTCAGTAAAATGCCGACTTCTAGGATCTACATATCCCCGAGCTGTAGCCGCACGGTAGCTCACATTGCCACACTATTCTTTACCTGCATTGCATATCTCATCACTAATTATAAAACATACCATTTTCAATTCGTTACCATTTTTCAAGAACAACATCCACAACCTAGTCTCAACAGTTTCATTTCCCGGGCCCCTGTGCTCCATGTAGTGTCTACGGGATTTTAGTCTGCGCGCTAGAATCAGAACAGTTACACGGCTAAACTCGTCCCAAACCCATACCGAAATCTTGGCTCCCCAACCAGTACCATTTCCGCAACTCGGGCTACCTCACAGGATACGAGAAGATGACCGCGTTACCGTGGAGTTCTCTGTAGTTCAATCTCTGCAGCACGAATGATACAGAGGGGATCTTCTAGTCATCTTACCGGCAAAGGGTGGTGGTGCTAGTCCAAGGTGCTCAACAATGGCGTGATGTGTGCAATATGAATATAATTTGGCTATAAGCAAGGATGTTGTATATCTTCTCATATCTCCAGACTCCTGGCTGGACATGTGATGATTCATAGGTTATGGTGGTTGAGCTGGTTGCCATCAACTGCTTCTGAAGATGTTGTATGTAGTAGTTAGGTTCTATATCTAAGGTGCAACATTCAAGTCAGTCTTGCATGTTGAACAATCCCTTCAAACGCAAAGTGAATTTCTTACTAAATTCTCAGATATCTTTTCATTTAGTATACTGTTTCAAGTGACTACGTTATCACATAAATTGGCTTCCTCAAGTCTTGCAAAGATATATTGGCTGGTCGTTGTTTGGATTGTTTTAGTTCCTGGAACAATATTCAGCCTTATAAACGCCACTCCGACCTTTTCTTGATTAGTCCATGATATATACTATACTGCCGAATTTTGAAATGGTCCATTTCCCTATATCAACACGCTGCAACAAAAAAACACCTTGGTTACCATAAACACAGAAACCATCTCTTCCAGCCTGGGTGACACAATTTCCTCTGCCCTTGTACCGATTTCAATTCTATTGTGTAAAACGGGTGGGGTAGAGCCAAAGTCATCGTATCTCTCTATCTGGATGACCTACTTGACGACCTCTTAAGCGCTTCACTTCCGTATCTTGAAACCATTTCCTCTTTCGATACTATTCTTCTCGCAAACAATATCATACGTGGCTGCCTACATGACAATGATCTCTACTTGCCATAACCAGCCTTTGGCGCTTGTATCATGCAAGAACGCAGTGCCTCAGTTACAGTGGGTATTTCCAAAGGAATCGCTGTAGCCTAACTGTCCAAGACCGAACCTTATCGATCGTGACCAATAAAGCATAAATTTATATGGCCTGAATGCCTGAGGGTTGCATCCTCTCACGATGCTAAGCAGACTTCACAATAAACGAAGAAGTTCGACGACACCCAAAGACTACAACGCGTAACTAAGCTCCTTAAGAAACCCATCAAAAATCCAAAAAAGTACCACGAAATCTCAACTACCCACCTATCCATCTCCATCGATCCGTGCAATCCCCATCAAACCACGCCCGCATCCCCTTTCCGCCCCCAAACATAACACCCCGACATAACACCGACCCCATGCACCCACAATCACCCTCTCCTCGCCGACCTCAAACCCCAGACAAACCCCCTCCACCACCATCTTCCATCCCGCGACAATCCGTAATTCGTATCCATACGTAGCCACAACCAACCCAGCCACACACACGCACAAAAAAAACCTCCCCCCCCTTTCGTTTGGGTGTGTGAGGAAAAACAAGCGGGTGCGGGCTGGTCATTGCCAAGCCGTGTTCGCTTACCCTTGTGAGAGAAGACGGGAGGGGGCGGCGGCTATGCCCGTCCGCGAGTCGAGCGACAGATATGGCAGACGGGTTTAAGCTGTTCAAGCCTTCTCTTTCCTGCGGGCTTCTAATTTTTTTTGGAATGATTGGGTAGACAGGTGAGGGTTTTTTGGGGGGTAGATTATTGATTTCCGCTTTTTGGGACTCTTTTTTTTTTGCTTGATCTGTTTTTTCTTTCTTACTTGGGGCGGAATGGGATGGGACGGGAGGGGATGGGGGCTGTGTAGGTGGTAGGCGGTAGGCTGTAGGCGCGTGGGATTAGGTCGGCAAGGCTGAATGTGATGTGGGCGGATTTGGTGCATGAGTTTGGGGAAGGGTTGTCTGTAGTGTATTTAACTAGTGGGAGTTTTCCGGGTTTATGGGCTGGATGAGTTAGGGGAGTTTATGTTCATGTTGTAAGTACGATTCAGTCAAGTAACTGAATCGAAACGGAATAGTAGCGAAATGGGTTTGTTCGGTTTGTTCTGCTGCTGCTCGGGACGCCGGAGGAAGTATCCAGATTCTGTTGTTAGGTACCCATATGGTAAGGTTTTCCTCTATCCCATCGTCATTTGCTTTTACTAGTCTTCGTTTGACTGACAATTATAACAGTGCCGCATGGCCAGCCAGCTCTTGATCCTATACTACCAACCAAAGAACATGTTATCGAGACTACTACGAAAGCCAAGGAGGAAATCACACCTCCACCCGATTACTCTGTAAACTCCTTATCCAAGGTGCAAACCGTTGTTTCCTCCGCCCCAGATCCCGACGATATCAGCCCTACTTCCTCCGACACCAAGAAACAAGATGAAAAGAAGGATATCACAGCTCGGCCCATCAAGCCAATACGTAAGCGCCGCGACAAGGAAGAAGGATACTCGACGGAAGATGTACAGCTAGGCTCATATACTAAGGCGACTAATGGACAAGAGCCAAAGAGTCTATTGAAGACACCACTGCCAGCAAGTTTGTACGAGAAGAAAGAAGAGACCACCTCACAACCTTTCGTTTTCTCTGCCGGCAAGGGAAGCGTGCAAGTCGAGGATTCAACCGCCATCTCTTCTTCTTCTTCCTCTCCAACAACAAGAGTCAAGAAACCACTCCCCATACGAACCAAACCCACCGCCCCAACCTACCCATATCCCCCCTCCCTCTCGTCTTCCCCCTCGCCCCCTTCCTCCCCCATCTCCCCAACCACCACGACCTTCCCCTCCAGAACCACAACCGCCCCAACAACCTTCGCAACAACCACTCCAATAACCACGACCTTCCCCCCTCCCCTCCCTTACTCCCCACCCAGCCCTCCGCCAACCGACCCAGGCCTCACCTGCCCCAAATGCTCCTCCCCCAACAAATCCCTCACAACGAACTCCACCAACCTCAACAACGGGCGCCCTTACCGCCTCTGCAGCAACTCCTCCTGCCGCTCCTGGAACGGCTTCTCCGACACACGCGGTCTTACGCCCAGCGAACCTTGCTGGTGCGATCCACCGCTGCCGATGCGGTTGGTGGCCATGAATGCGGTGGATGCGAGGGGGCGCAGGAAGGCGTTTTACAGTTGTCAGTATAAGAGATGTGGGGCGTGGAGGGGGGCTGAGGATGAGGAAACTGGGGCGGCGAGGTGGTTTGGGGAGGAGGAGATTAGGGGGATGGTTAGGAGAGGGGAGATTTGAGAGAAAGGTAGGTGGGTGGGTGGGTGAGCTTCTCTTTTTTAGGTGTTCTTGAATGATTTCATGATGGGGGAGTTCCTTTTGTTAGGTTGTTTACGACGTTATGAATTGATTTGCATTTTTTTTTCTTTAAACGCAGATGATTACTGGTAGTGCTACATCTCGGGACAAGTCTGCGTGTTGAGTAGGAGTGTTTGTTTAGCAGGTGGGTCGGTGGGAAAGTGGTAAACTAGTGTTCTTCTTTTTTTTCTTCTTTCCTTGAAACTACGTGATGGGGAACTAGAGAGATGTAGAAGACGGAAAAGAGCAACCAGTGCTACTTTGCATGTATTCAATGTACTCCGAAGAGTTGTTACGTTATGAAATGTGATGTTGACAATTTCGCGTCGTGATCTAATCCCGAAAAGAAAAATACATGAAAACTCCATTGATCGCTTGCTCGCTAAAACTCCTTTCTTGAAAAATTCAACATACTGCCCAGGTCGTTATTGTTGACAACATGTTCCGAGTACAGAGCGCCTAAATAGATGAACACAAAAATATACTACTGCAAAGAGGGCAATCTTTTGCAGAAAATCGATGGCGAGACGGAAATTCTGACACGCAGCTGTATCTTGGGCATCGCATGAAACCCATAACAACATGAGGTTCGTGACTGGGCCCCTCAAGTACCTGTCAAGTGTCCTATCACTAATTTCCTTACTCTTCTTCAGCGCTTTGCTCTGACGCACAAGTATATCCGCATAGTAACGCACGCAGTCAGCACCAAAGTTTCCACAAGGAAGCACGTCGTCGTGAATCATTTCGTCGAGGATACGCATGCGTGCGAGTTGGTGGATAGACCAGGTTTGCCAGCCAGGGATTTGGAAGACGACGCTTTGGTCGCCGCCAAGGGCTAGAACAGCAGTGTCGAAGTCTAGAATCAAGGCTCGAGGATGTCGCAACTTGGGTTGCTCTACGTACGGTGTCATGTCGAAGGTTTCAGCGGGAGATTTCAAGGATCGAGGCGCGTCGGACAAAGTATGCCGGGCGACGTGGTCCCGGTATGCAGCTAGCATGGATCTACGCTGGATTTGGTAGCGACGAAGTAGAAAGCCGTATATAGCTACCTGTCTTGCTTCCCATTTCCTTACTGTCTTGATCTCTGGTAGAAAGTCCTGGAGTAGCCTGTCGCGAAAGCTCTGCAGTAATGTTTCTTCGGTGAGCAGCCAGGTGAACATGGACTTCCAGTCGAATGACAGTTCCCACGGATTGCTTGTGATATTGATCTTGATACCTGGGATGATGGTGTTACTGATTATGCCGCCTTTTGTGAAGCCCTTGTTCAGTGTGCCTTCACCGAGTCGAACAATGATGGGATCTGGGTACTCATGGTTCCATGGCAGCCAGAGCGCCGGGCGGGTGGCTCTCTGTAACCAGGTGGCCAGATCGCTTCCAAGAGCAGTGACCATATACTTGTGGTCACAATCTGCCTCGAATATCACATATTCGCGACTTTCGTCTCCCTCTCTCTTTTCGAACCTAGCACTCTTTCCTTGAGGAAGACGAAAAACAATAAACTCGGCGTTAGACAAGCCATAGATAGATATGGCGAAAGAGAGCTTGGGTAACCAAAAGTCTCGGAAATGCTGCTCAACTGAAGCCTTGAGGTGCCGAGAGAGCAAGCGGAGATGAGTCCACTGGTGGGCAGGCTCGTCGTTGTGTAAGAGGACGAGCTCTGTTAGCACCATGTCAGTTAGCTCGCGGGGGAACCGGGCAAATCGGTCTGCCATTGTGTCTGCTTCGTGTTTGTAATATTCAGGTCTGATTGTTGCCAGTCAGCCCGTCCTGCACATTATAAGAGTACGGGAAGCCACGGAAACTATTGCCATCCCATGTTGCTTACTGCGTCGCTAAAGACTTCCCGTGCCATTAACAAATTTAATTACCGCGTCAGCAAGGAACTTACCATCAGCTCGGAAACTATACATATACGATACCAAAAAGATTACAACGATTACCTCTGTCTACTGCCAATCGCAGATCCAGTTTCAGCGGCAAGGCACTGCCAGCTCACGCTCTCATGCAACCGATGAAACCGGAGGAAGGCGACCCCTCGCAGTAGTGCAAAGCCACCTTAAAACATGGCTTACCTCGCTACATACCTCCTCTTTAGGTGGCTACTGCCCCAGTAGGCATACCTTGATATTGAAAAATTCCAAGATGGTAAATTTTAAAAGTCTGGGTATTAAACCATGTATAGCTGAAACGGAAATCAGTACTTATGTGCCTTGTAATAGATACATCACACACGATTAATAGCTATTCTAAATAGGGAGTAGCCTGTTATCTGATTTCCCGCCCCCATTGGTTGCATGGAAGTCATGAATGATGTGAGAGGGAAAACAGAGCTAGATCAAAGCGGAGCTGATCTGCAACATACTACTACTATGTACCTCGGCAACTTTTGACGCGGAGTAGCGCAACTGCACTCTTCATATAACCGCCAACACGCCGACTCCGCACGATTTGTTAAAGTACCTAGGATTCCCCCCTTCTTGTTGTTCCAGAATCCATCATCCCTCCTACACATGCCACCATGTCTGTACCATACGACCGAGCCTTTGATTTGCTGAGCAACAGCCAGAATGGCCACATTCCAGCTTCAAAGCGCATTCCCGCCATCGCTCGGCCATTTGTCAGCGAAAGAGCCGCAAAGACACTCGACATTGTAAGGAGCTTAGCAAACTCAGGACAATACAGCTCGTACTGACTGGGACCGTAGGTAGAGAGATTTGTCGAAGAGGAATGTATCCCCGCCGACGCCGTATACGCGCGCCAGCTCGGCCAGAGCGTACAAGAGCGCTTCTCGGCACACCCATCCATTATGGAGGATCTCAAGAAGCGGGCACAGGAGCTTGGACTATGGAACATGTTCCTGCCCAAGGCGCACTTCAAGGAGGGCGCTGGCTTCAGCAACCTCGAGTACGGGCTCATGGCCGAGTACCTGGGCAAGAGCCGAACAGCTTCCGAGGCGGTCAACTGCTCCGCCCCCGACACTGGCAACATGGAGGTCATTGCCAAGTACGGCAGTGAGGCACAGAAGAGACAGTGGCTCGACCCGCTGCTGCAGGGCAAGATTCGCTCTGCCTTCTTGATGACCGAGCCTCAAGTCGCCTCGAGTGATGCCACCAACATTGAGATGAGCATCAAGCGCGACGGCGACCACTATGTCCTGAACGGCCAGGTTCGTCTTCTTTCTTTCTTTATCATTCCGCTCCATGCCACTAACATGATGTTAGAAATGGTGGTCATCGGGCATTGGCGACCCACGTTGCAAGATTTTTGTTGTTCTTGGAAAGACGGACCCCAACAACCCCGACAAATACAAGCAACAGTCGGTCATTCTCGTCCCCAATGACACACCTGGTGTTACCATCCATCGCATGCTTTCAGTCATGGGATTCGACGATGCGCCCCACGGTCACGGACACGTTACATTTGAGAATGTCCGCGTGCCTGCCAGCAACATGGTGCTCGGCGAGGGCCGCGGTTTCGAGATTATCCAAGGCCGTCTTGGCCCCGGACGTATCCACCACGCCATGAGGAGCATTGGCTCTGCCGAGAAGGCATTGGAGTGGTTCTTGGCTCGCATCAACGACGAGCGCAAGAAGCCTTTCGGCCAGCTGCTTAACAAGCATGGCATCATGCTGGAGCGTGTTGCTCGATCGCGTATTGAGATTGACGCTGCCCGTCTTGCTGTGTGCAATGCCGCTATCCAGATTGACGAGACAAACGCCAAGGGTGCGCTCAAGGAAATTGCCGAGGTCAAGGTTCTTGTACCAGAGGTCAACCTCAAGGTGATTGACTGGGCGATGCAAGCCTACGGTGGTGCGGGTGTCAGCCAAGATACGCCATTGGCACAGATGTGGGCGTCAGGCAGGACGATGCGCATTGTCGATGGTCCAGATGAGGTGCATCTCCTCCAGCTCGGCAGGAACGAGAACAAGAGGGGTCCGGCACACAAGGCAAGGATCGAGGCGCAGAAGAAGAAGGGCGAGGAGCTTTGCAGGAAGTATGGCTACGAGCCCCAAGATCCGTTGTATCTGAACAGGACGAGCGGAGAAGCCAGCAAGCTATAGAGTTTGGGTTTGCAATATCCAGAAATAAAAGCCCATTGGCGTTGAAAGCTGTGTAATGACGTGAAGGGCATGGTATATAGATGGCCAATGACTATGTGTATTTAACGAAGTATTTAACGGTATACTTCGGAATGATTCCGATTTTAGCGTCGAACGCGTGATTGTAAGGCTCAAGCACGCAAAGGACATGCGCTCCCATTGCGCCAGACGACCGACGACATGTCACCTCAGAGTCGGGGGAACTCGATGCCTTCGGGCTTCTACTCCAAATCGACGCCCAACTTACCAACCTTGCGCATGTACAATGGAGAAAGCCAACAAGAAGAAAAGATCAAGTCTCCTCTCCGGTCCGCTCCCCCTGTAGACCCGCTGTCGCCGGTTTCCAACAGTGCCATCTCTGAGACGGCATCTGTGGAAGACTACCAGGATGGCTACAATGACGATGACGACGATGACGAGGGTGAGTTTGCAGTAGAAGATATAGGCAGCGAGTCTTCGGGCGAGGAAGAGGAGCATGCGCCTGTATCTCGGGGTCTCTACACATCCAAGTCGTACACACATCTCCAGCAACATGTTCACACAGGGACCGCCCTCTTTCCGCCCTTTTACAACCGACCGCCGAACCCCCTCCCGCCGTCGCCATCGCTCACCTCGCTCCTCCGCCCTGCATTCAGCCGGCCGACGTCGAGGCCTACAACTCCAGACTCGTCCGATGTAGATACCTCCAGGGCTGGCTCGCATAGCAATGGGACGAGTACACCTACATCAAACACAACCAACCTTGCCAACTCGGCACGGCATGCGCCAACGGTCCCGCGCGCCTCACCAAAGGTCCCAACGTACGAGTACTATGGCTTTGCGCTGTATCTGGGCAGCTCGGCCGCGTTCCTCATGTACACCCTATGGGCTTACGTGCCAGCGCCAATGCTGCACCAGATGGGCATACACTACTATCCCAATCGCTGGTGGGCGCTTGCCGTGCCCTGTTGGCTGGTTGTGCTGGTCATCTACATTTACGTTGCGCTTGCGAGCTACAACACGCGCTACCTCACGCTGCCGCTGAGCAGCTGCGAAAACTTGGTGGACGACAGCGCTCAGATTGCGGCCGTGGACAAGAAGACTGGCCAGATTGTACGCGATCCCAGGCTACTGACAGAAAAGCTTGAGGACAAGGACAGGGGAAATGGCGGCCGAGCAAGTGCGCCTCCAAGTCGTAGAGGCTCCTTGTCTGCGTACCAATTCGATGCATCCAGCGACGTGGATTGGAAGAGCCTGTGGAGCTTCGGCACAGACGCCGTTCTTGATGTGCCGATAGGTGGGGTTTGCGAAATACTCTATGGGAGCGACGAGTAGACCATGTGCTTCGTCATCCTTACCACTACTTACCAGTCGGCCCACCCGATGAATTCCCTATCTGAGCCGTCCACTCGTGAGTCCTTGCTGCCACATGCCAGCCAAACATTATTCGCGCGGAAAAGCTTGTCACGCTTCAGTCCGCACCCCACTTGCATGCCCCTCCCCGACTTCCCACCATTCCACGCAGTGCCTGCACGTTGGGCAAGTGCCCCGCTACATATGGGCCACAATAGTTCAGATTGGACGGGTTGATGGGTCGTGATATCCAATCTCTCCGGAGCTTACCTTATGTTTACTTAGTGGGGCGCGTTTGACAAGTTCATGATAGAGTATAAGGTCCTGCTATATCCGCGGTGATTGTTTCCGCATCCCACCTCTGCTCACAAGCTTTGCTGCTCTGCTCTGGGTTCAATTGCTTTGCCTGTTTTCACGTACAGCTCCAGTCGTTGACAACCTTCCAATTGCCCGCCATGAAGTTCGTCGCTGCTCTCTCCGCCCTCTCCATGCTTGCTGGTGCCGAGGCTGCTGAGACTGTCCTCGGTGCTTATGTCTTCCACCGCCATGGTGACCGCACACCAAAGGCTCTCGCTCCAACCAACCTAACTACGCTTGGATACGAGCAGGTTTACACTTCTGGACAGTACTACCGCTCACGTTACTTGTCTGGTGACTCCAAGATTCGCGGCATCAACGAGGACGAAGTCAAGTTGTCCCAGCTGCAGGTTCAAGCACCCGTCGACAATGTTCTCCAAAACTCTGCCATGGGTTTTCTGCAGGGCCTATACCCACCTGTCCAGACTGTCTCGACTCTTGCCAATGGCCAGAATGTCCAGGCTCCCATGGATGGATACCAGTTGATTCCCGTCAACACCATTGAAACTGGTGCTGGCTCAGAGGACTCTGGCTGGCTCCAAGATGCTTCCAGCTGCCAGAATGCAAAGGCGAGCTCAAATTCTTACTTTGAAAGCCAAGAATACAAGGACCTTGCTTCAAGCACCTCTGGCTTTTACAAGTCCCTTGTCCCTTCTATCAACGGCGTCATCAGCGACGATCAAGTGACTTACAAGAACGCCTACATCGGTATGCCATCTCCCCTTACTCCTTCCCTTCCTTCCTTCTCTAACAGCCGAAAAAAAAGTCTACGACATCCTCCACGTAGCCGAAATCCACAACTCCACCATCCCAAACTCCGATGTCCTTACCAACTCCACCCTCCACCAACTCACCGCCCTCGCCAACGCCCACGAGTGGGGTCTCGCCTACAACGCCAGCGACAACATGCGCGCCGTCGCAGG